CCCCCACGCACATTCGCTCATTCCACATTCCTTTCCATTCGATGGAGAGGTTCATGCAGACGCAATCTGGCCGCCGCCACCAGAGGGCGCTTCGCAGAGGCACGTCTTTTGAATACCGTGACGGGAGCGTGACCTGGGCGGGGACGGGCCCCGTGCGTGTGATAGCTGCGGCTCTCTAAAAAAAAAATTATCCATAATGAAAAGAGCGAATAAACTGATAAGAGAGAAGTAGAGAGACCGTGTTGAAAGTTTTGTTTTTCTGTCAGCATGACGAAAGGTGCTCTTTTGCAGGCCGTGTGGGTGACGGCGCTGGCGCCGTACGTGGTGCTCTTCATCCTGCTCGGTCGGGGCGTGACGCTGCCCGGCGCCGACGTGGGCATCCGCTACTACCTGACCCCGCAGTGGGACAAGCTCAAGGAGTCCAAGGTGAGCTGAATAGTTAAACCGATAGCTAAATGAGGAATAGCTACTAATTTAGCCATTATGTCGCGAAGAATTTACCTTTGCGTAGGTACATAGCTGAATTTTTAGCCACACACAGTGTTTTCAGCCAGATAGCTAACTTTTTTCGACACTTTGCGAAACTTTTAGCTGCTAATAATAAGTTATCCCCTATTTAGCTGTTCTATTTTATTTATTTTTTTCGTGCAAAGTTCAACTTTTTTAAAACCAAGCTGACTTCTGGTGGGTGTTTCGAATTTGTCAGAGGCGGTTAAATTAATTTTGGTTGGGCGAGCTGCGGGCAAAGTAAAGTTGGGTGTCCGTCCGCCCCGCCTCGAGAAGGCAGAAGGCTACCGCCGGGGCCGGGGCAGCCGGGGCCTCCTCAGTTGAGCCTCCTGCCTCCCCTCGTCATCGGGACTGGCGCTGAGCGGCGCTGGTAGCGGACCTCGGACAGGCCGTAACGAAGCGAAGCAAGGGGCAAGTAATTGGAGGGGGAGCAGGGAGGGGGGCTGACACACGGCGCACAGCTGCAGAGGCCCCGGCCCCGGGCGCTGCTGTGGCCGAGGCTGTGGCGGTGGAGGCCGGCCGCGACAGGCGCACTTGAGCGTCGCGCTGGATAATCCCTCCTCCGTTGGGCGCCTTAGAATTTTTTCTCCCACGCCCGCGCTCCGTCGGGGGAGGGGAGGGGAGGGTCGGCCTAGCCGTGCCCAGCTGCTGTTTAAAGGAGGCGTAGCAAAACAGAGCTCGGCACGGGCGTGCGGCGGAGACAGAGGCGGACGCCAGGCTGCTGTGACCACCACGGACCACGGGCCGTTCTGCTCGTGACAGACGTGGCCAGCGGGACGCAGCGGGGCGGCTGGGTTTAGAGAGAGAGGGGGGGCAAGGAGATTCACGCTTTAAGGGATCGAGAGGGTACTTGACGGACTGCCTCATGCCCTGTCGGCTCCTGCTGCAGGTGTGGATCGACGCGGCGTCGCAGATCTTCTTCTCCCTCGGCCCTGGGTTCGGCACGCTCCTCGCGCTGGCGAGCTACAACAAGTTCAACAACAACTGCTACAGGTGATTACTACTACGCTTCTAAAGAGAGACTCGTCCGATCCCGGTGGGCGCCAGTGACTCACACAGGTGGGCCGTGCGGCGGCAACCCGTGTTGCAGGGACGCCATCCTCACCAGCTCCATCAACTGCCTGACGAGCTTCTTGGCGGGCTTCGTCATCTTCTCGGTGCTCGGCTACATGGCGCACGTGCAGAACAAGAGCGTGGCCGAAGTGGGGCTCGACGGTGAGGTCACCCCGTCCCACCCTGTATTATTCCATACTCAGTGGAAATAATGATACTGTTGGCGAAAATCTCCGAACGGCCCCGCAGGCAGGGTCAGCAGGACATGTCTGAATTCCTTCATCAATTTCCAGGCCCTGGTCTGGTGTTTATCGTGTACCCGGAGGCGATAGCAACAATGAAAGGCTCCTTCTTCTGGTCCATCATCTTCTTCGTGATGCTGATCACACTTGGTAGGTCAAAGAAGGGTCATAAATTTTGCCCGTTTCGCTCTATTTTAAAGCGTTCACTAGTAAAACAAGTAGCGTGCAAAATATGCACATGCACACCAACGTGTGAAGTGATGATTTTGCTCATTACATGGTGTTCAACTCAAGATGCACACTTGCGTGGTGTGCAAATTTGAGACGTTTTGCATACGTTTAAATTCTGCACTCTTGGACACAGACCAGTTCTATGCTATAAATAAAGTTTAAACGCAGAGACCAAACATCTGTCTGAATGCGAACCTGGACGGCAACACCTTCCTACCTTCCTTGAGCCCAGTTCTTATGTCTTTGTCCTTGCGGCAGGCCTCGACTCCACCTTCGGCGGCCTGGAGGCCATGATCACGGCCCTTTGTGACGAATACCCCCGCCTGCTCGGGAGGCATCGCGAGATTTTCGTGGCGGTTCTGCTGGTGTTCGTGTACCTCTTCTCGCTGCCGACCTGCACCTACGTAAGTACGGGACCGATGGATAGAGACAGACAGACAGACAGACAGACAGACAGACAGACAGACAGACAGACAGAGCGGCGGGCTCTCAAGGCGGTCTCCCCTGGGACCCTCAGCCCGCCCCACGAATCACTTTGTGACCCAATGGACCGGAGGAGTGCTGCTTGGTGGGTCCAGACCCCTCCGAAGACCGCCCCGCACCTCTCACTTCGCAGGGGCGCGGCGAAAGTTCCACCTCTTGAAATCCAAGGCATCGAATACAAATTCAGGCGGAAATGACAGTGAAACCTCGACGACGGCGGGAGCGAGCGGGCCTCTCTCGCTTTCGGGGCCGCGGAGCCGGGCGCTGAGCGGTGGTGGCGGGGGAGCTGCGAGACAATGCACTCCACCAGCTTGCAGACGGACGGACAGACGGGCAGACAGACACGGAAAGGGAAGGTAGGAAATGAGGAAATCCACCTTACAGCTCAGCACCGCCGCCCAAGATAGAGCTGACGGACGGCTCCAGAGTCATTAAGTTAAAACACGGCTGCCAGGGCCTCGGCCAGGCCTCGGCCAGGGCCGTGGAGTGGGAGTGAGTGCTGCCGCCACGACGCTCCCTGATTGGCGCTCGCTAGCGGGTGGCACCCACACACAGACGGTGCTCACTCCCTCACGACGTACCAGCGGCCTGGGATGTTGGCAACTTCATAGACAATAATGTGAAACGATACGA